ATTGACCCGTGCATTCCTTCTGATTACATGGCTCGATATCAGCATCCATAACAATTACCGTGGCGCATTCAATAGTCATTTCTTCTTTAACGTGTTCGAACGAAACCATGAATCACCCGGTGCGCCGTGACACAATCGTTCAACAACAAATTACAAAAGCCATGTATCACGAACACAATAGATATAATTTATTCGCACAGAGCCCATTCTAATCTTTCACCTTTCGATTAAGCTAGTAACAGAGAGAAAGACCCAACTTTCAGCCATGCCCAACGAAAGAATCTACAAAAAATTCTTAACTAATAATTTATTGTTTTAACATTTAATGTTTAATAACATTATTGAATGGCAGCAATTTGTGCGGACGTGAAAGGAACACTTGTGCTTATTAGACGTTGTTAACGAGCAGGTGGGAACGTCGAATTGGAAGCAGCGAGTTTAAAGAGCAGGATACGTGGCGTGTCCCTCGGGTGACGCACGAACGCATTCAATGCACATATGATGCGCACATGGCGAACAGGTCTAACCACCTGTCGGACACAATCCCTAACCGTCCCGCTATTTTTCGGACCCGATACAACCGACGAACGGCGCGCCGCGCAACAGGTTACAACTACAGGCGACCGACACGTTCCACCGTATTTGAATGTTTATTACCGTGCTCAGCAACCTGTTACAATCAGCAGTTGCACGCGGCAACGAGGCACTAATCCGAGGAAACGTGGCCTGAATTCGATCCATAGAAACAATTTTCTTAGCCAGCCTTCAGGGACTAATTTCTATTTGTGTCCCTAGGCATTTGTCTCTAATTGAACATGGCGTGGATTAGAAAGGACGACGATGGTTCATAAGACCTGGTTTTGGTCAGGTCAGGTCCTTGTCCCTTTTCCTGGATCCTGTCTCCTTGCCTGTTGTGGACATTTCAAAAAGGACGGTTGATAAGACCTGGTTTTGCTTAGGTCAGGCTAGGACATTTGCCTTGGCGTTTGTCCCTGCTTAGACATAGCGTGGATTAGAATTCGTGAAAGTCGAATATTCAATCGGAGGTTGGAGGGTGGCACCGGGGGACAGGGAGGTAATTTTTGCCGATGGCCGCGAGGAAACGTGAGGCCCCTCTAGGTCCTGAATAATGCAGACCACCTATTATCCCTTCCGGAATCGCGAGTCATCATCTGACCTTCTGCACGGCCGCGCAAGAATCCACGTTGCACGGAATCCTCGGTGAGGCTCACCCGTGGGTGTCCTCCCCCGTGAAACCGGAGGAACCGGGCGTAAAAAGAATCGCGGGATGATAATAACCTAACGTCCGAGAAGAGGGGGGGGAGGTCCCTCGCGGTGGCGTCGCGGGCACGAGAAGTCGTGGGTTATCGCCGCGAACGTGACCGCATAAAAGATCGTAATGTTTTATGTGAACACGTGTAGAAGAAAGGTCAGTGCTGTTGCTTCTGTCCTTGTTTCCCTGATTCCCTCGCCGCCGCTCAGGAACAGCCCCATTGTTCCGCCGCGGGAAACAGCCGTGTCCCCCGGACGATGTAGCGATTACTGTTTCTTCATCGATCACGACGATCCTCGTATCTCCTCGGCTCTCGTCGAAACTGGCAAAAGGACGGTTGACGAGACCTTGTTTCGGTCAAGTCAGGTTAGGTTATTTTATGTATAACGAGGCCAAGACCCACAGAGAGGTCTCCTCAACGGTGGTAATAATCCCTGACGGAGATCAGTCCTTGGAATATAGGCTGGGTTAGGTCCTTGCCTCTTGTGGACATTTCGAAAAGGACGACGACAGCTGATAAGACCTGGTTTTGGTCAGATTAGGTTAAATCCTTGCCTCTTTTTCTCAATCCTGTCTTTTTGCCTTTTGTGGACATTTGGAAAAGGTTGACGATGATTGATAAGGCTTGGTTTCGGCCTATCTTCTGATGTTTTTTGTACAGTTTAACCCTTCATGGTTGGTTTAGAAAAGAATTGAACCCCCGTATGAAGTTTCTAAGAGATTACTCATGAAAAGGATGAGAAATGAGTCAGTGGCGTACAAAAGCAGTTCTGTACGAGATCAACAAACTGAGACAATGTCCCTGTGTGGATTCCGTTTGGAAATAAAGCGTATGAGCAGAAGAAGCGCGAGTCCTTGCGTCCGTCCAGATGAAGATAGCTAAAGAAAGAATCGGGATATTGATGGCGTGTAAGGATGAGATCAGCCGAGATCTGGAAAGGTGTATACGTAGCTTGCGCGCGTGGAATTTCGGTCACGCCGTCGCCGTTCGGCCGTAGGCGAGCGGAGGTGCGCGACGCAAAAGGAGGATCGAGCGCGAGAGATTCGCGCCGGATAGAAACTCGGTCTTGTCGGCGTGCAGCTCGAGTTGACGTACAAATTGCCGGACGGCTACTTAAAACGAACAAGTGTTCATTACTCGCCGCGCGATAACTTTGCCCGACGCGGCGTCGCGGTCCCCGCTCGTAAATTCAAGCCCCGAACCGACGCGACGCGACCAGAGGTCTCGAATCGTTCTACGTAAAAAGAAAAAGAAAAAAAAAAATGTCTGCTTCCACTAAAGAGAAATGAATTCCGACTTACACGAGCTTCGAATTAGCTTCTTCTCCCTGCGTTTAAGCAACGCCGCGCTATTACTTCGGCGAATAAGAGAAACGCGAGGGTTTATTAATCGAGGGAATTAAGTTAAACGGCGCCACTGTGTCTCCACTTGCGACTATTACAATAATTCCCGCGCGGCGATCCAAATAAGGGCGAGAAATACGACTGAATCGACGAAACACGTACCAACAATTACTGGTGAGTTACGGTAATCGGTGCGTTACTCCCGACGGTGGAAATAAGGTGTACGAAGGCCGGATGACGGAGTGACCGGATCGGAACCAGACACAATCGTACCAGTCGTTGCTAACCCAACCGTTTAACCCATTAGTAGCCAAGCGAACTTTATACGCGCGACGTGACGCGGCGCGGGTGGGAAAACAAGGGAAACTTATGCGCAGTTTGTGTCCCGTCGTGGAAACAGCGAAGACAACTTTGTTAACCGCGAACAGAGGCGTCCCTTTTCCCGTCGCCGATGATTTACGGACCGCGCGTCGCGCTTAAACCTGCTTTTCACGTGCCGCGAACACGCTGGCTATGAAGACTCCAACGCCCAATGGGCGATTCTCGCGCCGTGGAACATGCTTAAAATTTCTAACCATCTACCAGCGATCGTAAGCTTGTCGGAAGAACAAGGATTACCAGCCACCCTTAATTATAGAGGGATTATTAATTCGTGTTGAACGTCGCCATGACATGAAATACAATTAAGACCTTCTCAGTATTATTTATTTATTTTATAATATTATTTGTTTTAATGTTTGTATGTGCACACGTGTGCAAAGTCTGGGGAGTCTTTGTTCCTGGGTTTCTCACGCGATGCTACATCGACATCTTTCACCCTATCGTGCGGTTAATGGGCGACTCTCGTTTTGCTTCACCTCGAAAATGACCCCTTCTACTCTATACTCTTGGATGCCTAGCGAGTTTAGACCCGACGTAGACAGAAGGAAATTGCGGTAAATTTAACATAAGTATACGTCTCCTTATGTAAGAATTTATATCATTTATTTACTAGCTGACTCGTTTTTTATTTATAACTTAAGTGTTTTAATTTGCAATTAAAAATAGGGATGGACAGTATTGATTGCGAATGGTCATTAGTCATTTGCAGGATTAAGTATTGATTCTGAGATAGCTTTAAGTATAATGTTTACTCTTCCATTAACGTAGAATCACGTGAAGTGTTTTTGCTGCTAGATCTCAGGCTCTATAAATACATCCGAGCAATCGACAGATACAAGAATCCATGATTCCTTATTTAAAATAATATAAAATAATTCAAGGTTTTGAGTATTTGAACCACCGTCTATATTGAGAGTAGAGAAAGTCGGGCCACCCTTTAGAACAGTCACGAAGTCTAACGGTGTAGCTCAATGAAGAAAGGATGTGGCCGATGTCAAGTGTCAAGGTCCCGGGTCAAACCGCTTTATAAAGACGGACGAGAGGAGAGATCTCTATCTCCAACCGCGATACGACCAAGAGGAAACAGGAGGTGGAGGGGTGTGATAACACTGTAGCGGTATCTCCTAGTAATTACACGGTACCGGTTTTCCTTGCTGAAAATAAAAGATGGTGTTCGCCACGGCGGGTTTATTTTCGCGGGTCCCTTCATTAAAGTCGCACAATCCCTTAATTATAAGAGTTGTCCTCTTCATAAGTAGCTCAGGACATCAAACATTCTCAGTGCTTCCTAGTTTCATAGACATAAAAAATTCAGAAAGTGATAGCCACTGAAGTAGCTAATGATGACATGTTCTGCTATCTAGAAGTAGCTAATCAGCTAATGAATCATGGCCGATATTTCTAATGGTTCGCCGAAGTTCGGATCTGACGTGCGATTTTAATCAGGAATTCGAACGGTTACCGAGTCCAGAAACAAACGTCTCCGCGTACGGAACCGTGAAATAACGGTACAGGGTCCGTGGATCCCTCCGGGAAGAGAAAGAAAGAGAAAGAGAGAGAGAGAGAAAGAGAAAGAGAGATTGAAGAAAAAAGAAATGGTAGAGAAAAAAGAGAACGAGACCAGTCGACCATCCGCGATCCTTAGCAGCGTCCCGTTCGTTTCTCCATGGATTCGTTCTCATTCACGTTCTCCTTGTCCCAGCTCGGCGTGTAATTTGAATGGAATGCGGTGCAAATCGGTCCGGACGATAATTAGTCCCCAAACACGCCGTAGACAAGTTGGGCCTGGTTTCCAGTTAGAAATCACTTCGTATAACACGCTTCATACCACATTTTATCTGACGTTTCATTTAACGAGAGTTCCAACGTCGTTCAATCTCAACAAATTAGAAGAATTATAAATCTTAACTATTTTTTGTATCATTTATGACAGAAATCTATTTAATAAGAATGTTTGCTTCAATCAGGATTCCTTGAATCTAACACGGATGTTTGCTTTCAGAGTCGACGATCGGTGACCATCGTCAGGATCGCGTGTCCCTTCCGGCGTCGTCGAAGGCCAAGCGCGAACAGGCACTCCGCAGCATCCTCACCGCTAGGAGACGGCAGATCTTAAGTCAACGGCCCGTCGAATCTCGAACTCGCGCGCCGAGACCGATCGAGGCGTCCAAGGAATCGGACGTGCTCGAGGCTCAAGAGACCAGACACTACGTAACAGCAGCCAACATCAAAGACGACGAAGATGGTAAAAAAGAACCTGCGAAAGAAATATCCGAGTCCAACAGTCAACAAACTATTGAAAAACCTGGAAACACGACGAACGAAAGCAAATTAACATCAAACTTAAAAATCAATTCTACTATTTCTACTTTCTTAAATACTCAGAAGTCTTCAGACTCGGAGACACGAAAGAAGAAAATTGTACCCATGCCAGAGTCCTTGTACAACTACTTCAGACCCGTGGAAAGCAACATTCCCGTAGAGGACATGTCACAATTCTTGTACTTCGGTCAGAAGATCCAACCCGAGTCTCAAAACGGCACGGGGAACAATTCTGTGGAGGCGAGCTCGATGCAGACGACCGCGAGTTCACGTCGAAGGTATTCAATGAAGAGATTCACTTCCACGACGCCGGCGTTGCAGTCTGAAGAGATAATCAATGAAGAGATGAACATAGCAGTGGAACGGCAGACGGTCGAGAAGAACAAAGTGTCGACGATGAAGAATGTATTCAGGAGCCCGGAGAACGGGCTGCATTACAGGAAGAAATCGACGGAAACGTCGAACGTTATTACGAACGAAGCAGGAAATCGTACAGGAATTCACGATAACTCGTCCGCTCACGCTGAGAAGCAGCTGCACAGAGTAGCCCACGTGGAAACTGGGAATTCGACCCAGATACCTCAGCCAATCAATCAAACAGAAAGTGAGAATTTCGACGAATCAAAAGTCCTAAACCAGACGAAAGCCTCAACAAACCAGAAAAGGAGCGACGACCTAAAACCGACTGTCGATTCAAACCCAGAATTGACAGATAAAGAAACGTCCGATGAGCAGACAGAGAAGATACGTCGAATCGACATGTACGACATGAGCAAACCCGGCAGTTCCCGCGAGAGCAACAACATCGAGACGTCGACCTCGAGAGAGAAGAGCCGAGCCAGCACGGAGCCGTTCCGAATAATTTGGACACCGCCGGAAACGTCGACGTTACGTATAATCGTGACCGAAGGTACGTTAGACAGGTTCGACGGTGATCCGCGTCCCGTTAAACCAGCGGATACCCTCGAAGAAGGAGTCCGCGTGGCACCGAAGCCAGCGCCGCAACGATATTCAGATAAGACCTTTGGTAACGAGGACCCGCATCGACACCGGGAACAACAACAGCAGCACGTGTACGCTTACACGATAACGAACGTGACGCGGCTGTTGCGCAACTACACCGGACCTGGGTTAAGCCGAGTGGGACAAGGAGGATTAAGCAGCGCGAGCGAGATAACCAGCGGTCCGTCGGATCCGCGGCGGCCGTCGCCTACCGAGATTCCTGCTGCCGGTAGTGGCACAGAGGTGAGCCGAGGAGCGACGGCTGGTTTCAGTGCCGGCACGACCGTCGAGCGAGACGCAGACGGCGGATCTCCAGGTGCGCGCCAGGTGGGGGAACGGGCGAGGAAAGTGGTTACAGTCGCTGGTGGCCAGTCGCAGCAACGTGCTGGGGCCGGTAGGACCTCTCAGCAGCTGACCGCGGTAAACAAGGACGGGCCGAGGCCGGCCAGGGCACAGGAACTCAGTCACAGGGGCACCGTGCGTTGGAACCACACCAGGACCTCGGATCTGGAAGGATTCGGGGACAGGAGGATCCTCCGGAAGTCGGCCAGTGCCGTTTTGAACCAGAGAGCCAGCACCGAGGAGGAAGCTTCACAGGTCAAGAGAAGAAGGTTGACAAATGTAGCTAGGAGGGTGAAGGGTAAAAGCATAGACAGTGCTATGAGGTCATTCGGTGATAAAAACACGACCGACGATGAGGACAGGAGTTTCAGTGTCGACATGAATTCTACCGTCTCCACGGTTCCTTCTTACGAAGAGAACTCCACGATGAACGTCACTGAAGAGGATGTCACAGACGATGTTACTAGTGTAACGGAAGCCATCAGTGAGAGTGTGTACAATGATACCAAAGAGAGTGCCGCGGACAGTGCCGGAAGCGGTGAGCCGACCGTGGCAGTGACCGTCACCGAGCCGATCGCGCCGAAACAAACCACCACCGCCGCTACGTCCAAAGAAATGACCACGATCCCGGCGCCAGTTTTTCCGGTCACGCCCAAGATCGCGGAACCAGTCCAGTCGGTAGCAAATCAGACTTTCACCAGTGACTCCGGAAACGTGACGGAAACAGTGAAAAACGGTGCTGAAAAGCGTGTGGATTTGTCCAATATGGACCCATCGGAGATCCAGAAGATGTACAGAGCTAAAGACGCGACGACGACGACCACCACCACCACCACGACTGCGGCTACTTCCGATGAAGATTCTAGAACGACGGACACGACGCCAGTGCAGATAGAAATGTCCACGACCCCTCAAGAGAAGAGTGCCACTGATTTACCGGAAACGAGACCTGAAGCCTCTACTGATTCTTCGATGGAGTCTAGGAAGAAGGGCGAAAGGTCGCCGGAGGTCAGGGGTCGAAATCTGTCTGACAAGTCACAGGAGCTACCGGAGAAAGACGACGTTCTGCCTATAATGCATCTGTACAATACTTCGAACATTTTCAATGGCACCGGCCCGGTGAACTCGATTTCCCGCGGCACGGAACGGCGAACAGAGCTTCCGGTGATCGCGAATACAAAAACCACCGAGAGAGTTAATAACACGGTTAACGAATCCGTCCCGAGGAATCACGACTCGTCGAATTCCACTCGTATTCCCGAAACGAGACGACAGGAGGACAATCGGAATGACACCAGTACGCAGGTTCCGCCGACGGGTCCTGGTAGAGGATCTCCGGGCAATCGGACCCGGCACAGGCCCGCGTATCATCACGCGGTACTTCCGGAGTATAATTCATCGGTGTATTCAGCCGAGTTGAACAGGACGTTCTTTGAAGCTGGGCTGATCTCGGTCAGTCCGAGGGAGTCGGTGAACATCAGTGAAGTGATTTCCAAGCGACACGATGGCGACGCTATCGCGTCACAGGAGACCGTAGCTGTTGTCAGTTATATTCTAGCAACGTTGCTGGTGTTCCCTATTGCTGTTGGCGTGGGGCTAATTCTTAGAAGACTGATACTTAGGAATCGTAAGGTGAGTGACTGGAATTGCTAATAAACTGGCTGGGTTTTTGGTAAAAAAAATTTGGAAAAGATGCAGGATTTAAATCTTAGGTTATCATGAAGATAGTCATCATTGCTTCGATGCCATTTTCCCATTATTTAAATAAAATTGCTATATTTAAATTTCTGATTGCATTAAAAGTCTGCAGTTGTCTTGAAACGAGGCGTTGAACGCGGTAACGGAAGAGACTTTTGGGAGCAGCTAATAGAAAGCGTTTATGGCTGGGGTATATAGGTCGGATGAAAGTGGTCCGGCGATATGTTCGCCGGTCCGGTAGCCAGACTCCGTTTCACGTGAAAGTACGCGGAGGTGTAGGAACAAGGTTGGTGTCAGTGACCTGGTTATTTTCGGTGTAGTATATCCAGCCTCTCGTACAATTTATCATGCATACTGAAAGTATGCCGGGCTGCTATATTTATCTCTCTTATCAGTGGAATGAGAAATTTCCTGGAAAATTAAATATTTCTATCAGCAATTCAAGGAATTCTATTTAAAAATCATTTAAGCAATACATATGC